AGGGTACGGTTTAGTTTTGTGAATGTTTTTCGAAGTTGCAGGTCTAATGGGGGTAAAATGACAATGAAAGCCTGCAGTTATTCAAAAAATGTAATATGCTTGTATTTCAATTATGTGAACCCTTCCCTAGAACACAAGGGAACGGTTCTCTTAGGCGTAGTACACTCAAGCTTCCTTGTTAATTTTTTCTTTAGTTTCTGCTTGGTTGTATTTTGTTGTATTTTTCCAAGTTGAATGAATTTGTTCCTCTCTCTTAGTTTTGGCAGTGTAATTTACGTGTTGCCATCTTAGTAATTTAGGTGTTGCCGTCATAGTTTCGCCAGATCGATGATCCCGCCATTTAAATTTTTCCTTTCTCTCCATCCGTGCGCCTGTGATTCCATCCCAATATATGGCTTTTAACAGTNTTCCTTCCGAGGTTCGGCTTCTTGTTGTATCATTGTTTTTTATATATAAATGGTTCTTGGTTTGTTCAATTTAAAGCAATGTAAATTTTGTCAAAATTATTCGTTGCGTATAATTGACCGATTTTTGGTGGTTCTTCTGTGCTGCGGATGTCTTCTTCATGCTTGAAGGTACAAATTCTTTATCTTTAACCTAATTCGATTTTGATTTTGATTTTATCTTGGTCTGTTAAGCGCTTCAAGACTTTGTGATTCGCAATGTAATTGTGTTGACTAATTTTCTGTTTGGGTGCTGATATAGGTTTCAATTTCTGTGACGGTGATTCAGGCTTGCACAAGGTTGCCTGAATATGTTGGAAGTGAGGAGTAGCAATTCATGCGGGCTATCTACTGCCTTCGATTTGTGTGTTGGTTTGAACAAAATTACAGGGAAGTTTTCTTAAACCTGTTTCAAATCTTCTATCAAGGGTTGTGTATTTGTTTTATTGGTTTGGTTAGGGGAATCAAATCGGAACAATTTGAATATCATTACATCAAAATCTTTACACTATTATAGTTGCAGTCCTTTGGTAAAATATATATGTTTTTGGGTTATTTTTGGCCCTTTATTTTCATGTAGATAGGCATTGATTTGATGTTTTTTCAATTGTCATTTGTGATAGTAATATATTTTATTTTTTATGTATTAGTTGTAAGTTTTGGGTGTGCATTATTCTTTCATTCATTTTTAAAGTTGTATTAAGAGGACAGACAAATATATCACACAAATAAGCTATCAGTTTCATTCATGCACAACATTTACAGTGCCTCTTTCCTCTTTCCTGTTCATTGAACATGTAAGTTGGTGACATCTTCTCAGCAGTTTCTAAACAATGCTTCATGTTATGGAACTGCTATTTCTTTGGTTTTCAATACCTTATTTATTTGGTCTTCGTAGTAGTTAACCAAAAATTATGTTGGGTCATTCTTCTTTGGTTGTTTTAATGGATGCTAAGATATTTTTTTGGATTAATATGGTCTTGGATCCTCTCCAAGCCTTTNAACATATATTGAATGGATTTGTCATTACATGCTGAAATTTTTTAGTATTTTGACTTTTTGGTTGATAGTTTGATTAAATATGTTTGGTTTTTTGTTAATTTTCCTGTTTTCTTTGGTCTTGTTGGCAATGAACGAAAAATTACGGTGGATCATTCTTCTTTGGATGCTTTTAGTGGTTGTTAGGGTATTTCTTTCGATTAATATGGTATTAGACCTCTTACTGCCTTTTCTTTTTGTAAGTACCTACCACAACAAATATATATTGAATGGATTGGTTATTGTAAAAAAATCATAATCTTTGTGTTTTCATAAAGATTATTTATAAGATATTGTAAGTTAGGTTAGGAGGCATAAGAAAACATGTATGTTAGGGCTTTCTTAGATACAAAAATTTACGCTCAAAATGGATTTTGCGGTAAACCCGAGTTAATTTGGAAAAAATTAGTATGACTAGTTGTTAGTGGAATTTTGTGTTTATATTAAATAATATTTAAAAAATAATACTTAAAGTTGATTTGATGCAAAAGTATGATAGACATGATGTGAAATGATAGTTAGTTAAAATCATATGATTGAATGAATACTGAAGTAAAGTTGATGTGATGTGTAAGAATGATTATTAGTATTATTTAATTATGTTGATAATATTAAGGATAATGGGGTTGGGTTAAAGTTGAGTTAAATTTTGAATTTAATTGAGTATGAAATGAAAATATTTATGTCCAAGCATGCCCTTAAGGATTGGTTAAACTATATTGGCTTTTTTTAAAAAAAAAAAAAAAGAAAAAAAGAAAAGAAAAAAGCATATCAAACAATCTATTCAGTGGCCCATATAGTTATCTTTTGAACTATTCCTGCTTTGTTAGTCTTCTTGATAGGTAGACAAAAATTATGTTATTTTTTTATTGTTTTAGTTGCTGTTGGGATATTTTTTGGGATTAATATGGTCTTGGATCCCCTCTCCATATCATCTCACATTTCGATCTTATATATATATTGAATGGATTGGTCAGCACATCCTGGAATTTTAAGTGTTCTGACTTTTTGGCATGATAGTTCAAGTAATTTTTATTTTTATTTTTTATTTAAGAACGTACATACTACCTTTGTTGTTTGTTGTCATTTGGATTTTAGTTTATTGTAAAATGATTTCATAATCTTTATGCTGCATATGGATTGTTTATAAGATATTGAATATTAGGTTAAAACAAATAGAAGAAGTTTATGTTAAGGATGGATTAAACTATGTTTGCTGTTTTTTTATTTTTATTCCTTTTGACATTTTTTTTTATCATAATGTTCAGCTTCATGAATGTTTATAGGAGGAATCTTAACCTTTATTATTGATTATTGATGACTAGATATTATTTATGTTTTAAATTTGTACTATAGACAGAAAGTTATAAACATTTAGCATCAATACATCAGGTTTGTCCTCTAGCCGCTTATTGTTGTTGTGTGAAGTTAACATTTCTGTGTCTTTTTTCTAAAAAAAAAATGTTTTCAGCCTTTCTTTGCTTTTTTCTATTTTGTTATCCTTGTTTAGTTGAAGTTTCTTTATTGTGTGTGCTTTTATGAAGACCTTAAAATGTTTTTAGACTGTATTCTTTTCAAAAGAGTGTTATATAATTGGTTTTCTTGTTTGAATCAGTCATATATGATCAGAACACATTCAAATCCGTTTCATGGGGTGACGTATAATTGTTCGCATATGCTCTTTTCGTTCTAATTTGTAACCGGAGTTGTTGTTAATTAGGGTTTGCAGAACGTTTGTGGTGACAAACTTAGCCATATAGCATCAAGTATTTCATTGATGTTTGGTTATATTTCCTTTGTTAGCTTTCCTTGCTTCACTACTTTATTGTCGTGCATAGTAGTTTTTTTTATGCTTATTTGTTCTTTAAAAAAAAATATTTTATTAAACGTTGTCTTCAAAGTAGGCCATGTGATGATTTGTTCTTCAATTTTCCTTTGTTCTTTTAGTTATGGATTTTTTTCCTATTAATTGATCCTCTGGGTGCTTACTTCTTTCACATTTGTTTTCCTTTTGTTCTGTATAATTTTGTGTAACGTTGTCTACTTCAATTCTTACTAATGCTAGATTATATCTTACAAGGAATGCGATGCAGATGAGAAGATGTAGAATAGATCAGGCTAAGAAACTTCAAGGCACTGCAACAAGTTCCTTTCTATAAATAATATTCTCTTATTATTTATTTATGTTGCTTTTTATAATCTAAGTATTTGGGAGATAAAGTTGTTGGGTTCTATGAGGAACGTCGATCGATGTCCACATTCGAATCTTAGTCAATTTAATTTTATCGCAACGGAATCTACAGTTAGGATTAAAGCTTACGGTTTAAACCTTATTGATTTTGAACAAACTACACAGCCTACGGGGCTGGACGAACAGTTCTGAGTCGTGTCCTCTTGCTTCATTCTCGTCGTTCATTGCATGTCCTCGTCAAGTGGCCAGATCGCGTATCGCCTGACTGCTGGTGGCTGAGCCGCGTTGATCGCCAATTGCCTGGATTCGGTTGTTGGTCGTCGAGTCGCAACGTGCTACGTCTGGTTTCTGTCGTGCGTGGGTCGCACTGGTGGTTGTTGGGTTCTGCCGCGCCCGAGGATTGCCTGGTCGTCGAGACTTGCTGTGTGCGGTGGTCTGGGCTATGTACAGGTGGACGAATTGGTTGCATCGGGATCTTCTGTCGTGTGGCTGATCACGTCTCCTGTTAGGCTTGGTGGGCGACTAGTCGGATCTTTTGAGCCTCTCACAAAACACATGATTTTTCTCTCATCTTTTGCTCTCAATTTTACTCGATTTCTTGCACAAGAATTTCGAGTTTTGCTCGTAAGACTTGTATTTATAAGCTACAACAAGAATCATAAGGAGACGTTAAATATGGGTTTCCCCAAGTGTGGACTTAATTGTGATCATGGCCCACTCTATTAATACTTGAATAATATTTCATTCCACTTAAGAACACTGTTCTAAAAATCTGCCTAGGTGGTGCCCGGGCGCCTCCGATTTGCACAAATCGGCAGAAAAAATCGACCAGACGGCTAGCCGGCGCCTAGGCGGGGCTAGGCGGCCCTAGGCGCTCATAGGCGGATTTGGCGGGCTCGGAGGCCAGGCAGTTAGGCGGGCTCGACAACAATTTTTCAGTTTTTTTTTTTTTTTAATTTTTTTAAATACTAATTACATTATTTTGTTCTTATGTTTTCTTTAAAATATATTAATTTTATTATTTGGACTTACGTGTGTCAATTTATTATAACTTGAGATAATTTTATTTTGTAGGTAGTTAAAATAAATAAAAAATAAGGTATTTAATATTGATTTCTAGGCCCCGACTAGGCGCTAGGCACTGATCGAGCCGCTAGCGACTTTTAGAACACTGCTTAAGAAATAGTATTGATCTCCCCATTTAACCATAGATTACAAATAATTCATCTCCCTGTTAATTGTTCGATTTACCTCTCCATGTTTAAGATCTAACGCCTATTGACTAATTTAATTACTGACAATATAATGAAACAACTTGTCGATCCGAAATTAGTACCACTCAATTCTTTATTATTATGTTAGAACTCAATCGCCCGCAGAATTTCATATAATAACCATTCTTGAGCTCATTTCGGGGACGTCATCAGCCCGACGTACTGAACACGGTGACCGTGAACAATTTGAATGACACATCATGTAATCGAAATTATTTAACAAAATCTGGTTGAAAGAGAATGGATGTAGACACATTTGAAGGATTTTTGGTTGAGAGAAAAATGAAAAGGAACTCAAGTGTTTATGGGGCTATCACTCGGTTTTCCAAAGAGGAGAAGGGGAGGAATCACTTGATTTTAATGCCATGAATCAAGGGCCTTGAATTGGAAGTTACAAAAATGTTGAAATTTGATTTGCCTTGATCAAGAGCCTTGTAGCCGTTTCACAAGAGGAAAAAGGGGATATTTGCTTGCTTGAAGGCCAACAATTATGGTCTTAAATACAAGGTGAGATGGCTTTTGAAATTTGAATTGTTTAGCCCTTTAGAATATAACAATTAGATTCGAAATAAATATCATTTTTAAAGAATACATACCAATTTCTATTACTTTACAATATAATTTATAGTTTTATTTGATATAATTTAATTTAGTTTGATAAATAAATTTAAATTTTATTTATAGGGATATATATTACTGTTTTGTATTATATATATAAATAAATAAATAGTAAAATACAAACTTACTTCATAATATCAATTCAAATGCAACACATTAATTAAGATTTTTATTTCTTGACAATATTAATCTTATTTAATTGATGTTATGAGAAACGATGGAGATGAGATATAAAGAGACATTGTATATTAGATGGAGGGTTAAAATGGAAAAATATGAACAAAATATCTAAAACTACATTTATTTTATCAATGATCAATTAAGCCAAAGTGACAAATAATAAAAATAGGAAGGTATATATATTATTATATATCAGTATGACACATGTTACTTGTGCGACTTATATGTGTTATATTACAATAAATTTTCTACCTTATAACATATAACTACATTAAACATAAATATATTAATTGATAATAATTTTATTTTCTAATTAATTTTACTAACTAATTTTTTTATTATTATAAAGATAAATATAATTTATTTATTTTATATATACAATATGGATTCAAATCGAAGCTCATCAAAAGATGATTAATTTGATATATTATATGTGTAAAAGCGATAAGAAATACAAAAGTTATCAACTTTTAAAATATATTTTCAATTCAGTGGTTATAATAAAAAATGATATTAAAATATAATTAATATAAATATTAATTTATATCTAAGCCTAACTCTAAAGCATGATTTTTTTTTTCCAAATAAGATTCCGAAGCATGAGAGTTTGTCACGTAGGCTCAGCGTATTCTGAAATTATATATAGAGGGGATAACTAAAAAAAAAAAACTACAACATTCATGGTCACAAAAAGAAATTATTTCCATAGACTCACGCAAGACCAAACCTGGATTAACATTGCTTGCGGAAAACAAAATATCAAAACACGTCCCACAGAGCGCAGACCCACCCAGCTAGCAATTAGAGTAATGACTTCACAAGATGCCCAGGAAAAGGCATTGGATGTTTTTAGTAGAATAAATCAAAAGCTATTCATACGTTCCTGCTCTTTTTACAACTTTCCCGTTACAAAATGCAGCCTGGGAACACCACAACTGATTTACAGACAGCCGTATAATAAATTATCGTTTAGGTGTCGCGAGATAGATATATATATATTGAATAAAGAATGAGGATAGGCTGTCCCATTTACAGTTTCAAAATGATGAAATAATTTCAGTTGGGGCTTTAGTAAATATCCCATCATTTGCAGAGACTTGTTATGCACAGAAAAGAGATTCATCTAGTTCTGATGGAAGCAAAGTTGACACGCTCTTGAACTGTCATAAAAGAAAAGAAAAGAAAAGAAAAAGTAAAAGAACGAGTAAATATGTATATATATATGAGTAACAGTTTTTCTAATTTTTCTGAGTTGTTTCCAGCCATTTGATCTAGAAGAGTCCAGAGAAACAAAACTTAATTCTTGGCCAAATGTGGGTCCCTAGCGTGGACATCATGTTGTTTGAGGAAACAATTCAAGGAAAAACGTATCTTAGAGAAAATAACGAAATTCTATTGAAACAAGTTGGCAGGAAATGCAGGACAAAATGAAATTTCCAAAAGTGCCACCTTTTTTGTTTTTGCTTACAAAGTACTAATTGTGTATTGCAACCATAAAAATTACGAAAAAATGACCGTGATTTCGACCATGGGTGACATTTTGCAAGCACAAAGACAAATAGTGGTGGTATTCCTGAAAACAAATCTGGACTTTTTTTTTAAAATCCTTTTATTTTTGTGACAAAAGCTTTTTGGTGTCTTACCCTGGATTGCTTGTACTTCCGGCGTATGGCGCTAGGCATGTTCCCACTTGGATTAATGTGTAAGTTTTGGAGTTCTAAAACTACAGTTTTTAGCTCTGATGCTTTGTGCCTCGTGTAATACTCCAGGGTCCGATTCTGTGCACGGAATACTTATAATTATACTATATAAATAAGGGGGAAAAATGAAAATCAATAGCATCTAATGGCATAAAAGAAAACTAACCCATGGATGCTCAGACTGATCAAGAGTCCATTTGGCTAAAAACACAGCAGAAGCAGCAATTAGGGATGGTAGGTATTTCAGGAAATTGTAGTCCATTAGAGTTAGTTCTGCTAAATAGTTTGCCAAAAATTCCAGCTCAACAGACGGGACCTGGAAAATGGAGATATCNTATATATGAATTTACAAAGAGGAAGTAAAAAGAAAGAGAAGTGATAGTGTTTATAGTAATTTTGAAAATACCTTAAAGTTTTTGGAAATTAAACTGAATATCAAAAAGATAGTAGCAAATCCTGGACACCGTTTAGTCTACCTTGTATGAAACTTGTGCTGCTTGAAGAAACCTCCTATAAACAGCAATAGAAGAAGATTTATGAGATACAGAGCTTAGAATGCAGCATTTAAGTGAAAAATAAAGGTCATAGAGTCCACATACACTCGGTACCTAAGAAACTTCTTTGTGGTAGGAACAGAGAGTTGAAAGCCCAAAAAGTTCAGAACACAACTTTCCATTTTCACTACCTGTCAGTTTTGCATAGAAAATTTAAAATCAATGATGAATTTATCAATTTATTGAGAAAAATCCACGTAAATGGAATCAGATATAAAACAAAATGGTTATCGAAATAGACAAGGATTTACCTCTTCTTTTGTGTAGGTATTATCTGTTATAAAGCAAAAATCCTCCACATGAGGCGCACAAATTTCTTCATACTTCCTATAGACGTTATCAGTACAACATAAGTAAGAGCAATGCCAGACGGTCAAAAACTAACAAAACTTTGTTTGAGAACTTGACAAAACAGTGCACAGGTAGCTACCGCCTTAAGATCCCTGAACCATTAAGTTAGCTGAATAAGGCAGGAAAAATAGGACAATGATTGGTGTAGGATACTGATGACTCTGGTGATAACTTGAAAGGATAAAAAAATAATTCAAGACAGCGAAACAGCTTGTTGTCAGTAAATTGGCTTTGTACTGGATTAACTGGATTTATTTTTACGTAAATAGAACACTTACAAAATTCTAAAAACCAATTTTAAGATGAATAAGAAATTAATTCTAAGTTCAAAATGCTGAAATATAGGAAGTACTGAGTTGGCTCAAAGTGAGCTGGACTTTGTCTTTAGGAGAATGTGCATCACGTGCCTTGACTTTGTCAATTTTTCGTTCATTTATCCTTCTTTTATTAAGCCTTTTTCTTCAACTCGCATACCATACAATCAATGCTTGTAAACTATGATATATCTGGTTTTTACATGTATTTGCTTTTTACAAATAACTTACGAGGCAATGAGCATGCAGGTCACACCAAGCAGTTGAAGCTTCTGTTTGGTCATGTGATTCTGTGATAGGTATCTATCAATGAGATTTACAGTCAGGTATAGTGTATCAGGCATCAGCCCATATTCTTCAGAAACCTGAAAAGAGGCAATGCAATTGGAACCACATGAAAGGTAGGGGATAAACATTACATATTGGAGAGAGAGAGACAGAGAGAGAGAAACGAATGATACATTCTTCCAATGCATGTCTAATCACGATAATTAAGAGACATAGAGTCTTCATATAGAAAATGACATCTTAATAAACATTCAACTGGAGAAGAATGTGAAAGCTATAGATCTTACAACAGCTTAAGAGCACTGATGATGTAACTCAAAGAAGAGACGATGATGACAAAAGTAAGAGCACGGACAATATGTGATTTGAGTAAACAAACCTCAACAAGCCACTCAATCAGTATAGCCCTCATACCCTGGGTGATGTCTTGTTGCAGGTTTTCCATATAATCAGCCGAAATCCTCCTTTCAATCTGAGGGAAGAGCAAGACTTCATATGAGACAATGAAACAAGACATTTATTAGAAATTTGAAACTGACAAAATTTTTAGTCGACCTGAAACAAGATTAGATTTTATTACCCTTGTGCATTCTGGTTGAAGTATTATCAATTGCTGTCTACTAACTCACGAAGTAACTTAGAAATCAATTACCAAAACTCATAATGCACCCCCAATTAAAAGATAGCAAAAACATCATACAGAGGCACATGGCCATTTTGTGAAGGTGGTGACCTAACAAACCTGTCTTGCATACATAGCAGAATATATATCAGCTGCATAAAGGCTACACATCTGCGGATCCTTGTGATTTGAATCTATGTCAGTTATTCCACTATCTTCCAAGCTCTCCTTTTTCATGCAAAGCTTGACATCTTCTGCATGATAAACAAAAAAGTGTCAGAAAAGGAAGCAGATGATAAATAAGGAGAATGTCTAATCTTATATATTTCATCAAACCATTTGAAGGATACAACAACTCTTTCTTAGACTGAGGTGTATAAACAACCAGCTTCAATAAAAATGACCAAAATATTAGAAAGTGAAAAAACAAAATGTATGTGGTGTTGAAGGGTCACACTTACGAACTTTTGCTTTTCATCAGTAAGCAGATGAATGTACAGTTGAATACCTCACAAAAATAACATTCAAGCCCAAAATAATGCATAACTATCTTTCTGAACCGTATCAATAGAAAAGAACCTGGGTGGGAGTGTGCAGCTTCTCTTCTGCCATTTCTATAGTCTAAATACTTGGCTAGACACAGCAAATAATTTCACCTAACAGCATTCTGTTTTTAGGCTAAGATCCCAAACTAACTTTAAATTGGCTTATTATAACACTCACAATAAAGATTAAGACATGCCTGCATTTACAATTGCATAGTAAATATAGCAGTCAATACAGCAAGTATGAAATGGCAATAACAGCAAAACACATACTAGATTCTAGAATTTAATTATAAGATACTATTGATCACAAACTCGATACACAATTTATGCCAAAATTTGTGAAAAAAACTTCATGTAAATCTAACCTCTGGTCACTGAACTTATCAGTGGGGTGCTATTACTGGAATATGTCGCAGTTGAAGTCAGACTTGCTGCCCCTGTCCCATTTGCATGAGCAGTTTCAGTTGGTTCAATTGTCAAGTTCTTCTGTGATTCCACCACATCTGCTTTCATTATATCATTTATATTTTCTCTTCTCTCTCCTGGAACCTTAAATTTTTTAGGAATACATGGAGTCGCCACCTTTCCCTTCTTCTGTGAAGAATCATTTCTGTTCTGCCTGCTTGGCTGAAACTAGCAACATATATATTCAGTAACTTCAACATAAAGTAAAAGAGCCTACATTTATTCTCTGAAGATCACATGTACAGGTTAAGGACAAAGAAGAATCTTAAAATTTAAAAGAGTGAACAAAATGATGAAGGTAACCTTACCTGACTTCTAGCTGCATTTATGCAGTTTATGTACAAATTATCACATGTGATATTAGTTACATCCTTAAGAACATTCCTTTTATTGTGCGGCGGAGAAGTGGCTGAACTTGTTGCTTCTTTGTTATCTGGTGCTGCTCTCTTCAAGCGCTCTCGGAACACAGGCTTGTCAGCTTGTCTAGATGAGGGATGTAAAGGTGGCAAACCACCTGATGAGCCTAAGGCTTTAGCCCGTGCTCGTGTAACTCGCACTGTTGGCTCCCTGGGGTTGGACAACCAACTCTCGTCACTCATGACTGCATTCTTCATGGGACAGCAGTTTCTTAATAAAGTTAATGTGCCTTCATAATCGCTGCAAGTATAGCACAAACAAAGGTTAAAACAAGCAGCCATACGCCATACAACTGTGAGGCATATTCCGTCCAAACAATTTGATTAATGGAACTTCAATAGTGATTGAAATTTGCTATGTATCCGTTTTCAGGCATTGTTACCCACTATGCATTATACTTTAAACACGAAAAACCTGCATTGTGTCCTCGAATTAATATGTTGTAAACAAATAAACAGGATTTCTCACAATATGTCCTGGACAGTACTCAGTAGACCTCAATACTGCACAATTGTTACGCATTAAATATTAAATGTTACATGTTTTATTGCCCATTCCAATCATACATGAAGCCCTGAACTGAACCACTTATTCATTCTTAACCATATCAACAAAACAATATTCTTTTAATAGTTTGAGTTTCATATTTTGTTTACCACGTAAACAGACTACATTTAGCACACGACAATACAAAAAATCGTAATATTATATTGTAATTGTGATTTTATTGAGCCAGAGCTGTAGAACAAATAAACTAGAACAAGATGATAAATTGATTATTCCTGGATTCATTGGCTCAAAACCAACTTTTGTCTTTTGGGCATTTTTCACAAAATGGAAAAATGCAAAACCGAAACACTTCATTTAAGTGCAGGGTATACAAGCTATACCGTATGCTGCATGAGTTGCAGCTCGATAATGCAATATCTTGAAATGTTCAGCTAACAAGAAACTTATTATCGCCTCTCATTAAATTACTTCATGTAAATAGTTGAGAGATTATGAAAAGAAACCCAGAAACACCAAATCATTGAACAAGCCTATAAATTTGCACCCAAGTGGTATCATTTCAAATACTCGAATCAAATAGTGAAAGAGAAGAATCCCACACACTAAAAATAGAAGTGTAATTCTTTTACCATATTTCATTAATTACAATGTGCTTAAATTCCATCGCACTACGGAAAATTGTTGTCAACCAACCCAGAACCTGGGAAGATAACATCTTGTTTCTTTCTTAGTTTGTCCTTTCTAAGAATGTATCAACAAAAAAACTCAAAATGACCATAAACAGACTTAAAATGAGCTTCACAAATACAATGAGCTTCTCAAATCGTACCTATCACCATAGGGGAAAAAAACAAAAAATCATAATAAAACCCCACCCTCAGATCTATGCAAAAAAATAACAATTCAACTTTACAGCTAAAAAATGCTCCAAAAAATTACAAATTCAAAAGAAACAAACAAAAAGCACCGCATTTATCTACAAATCCATACGAGGTAAGAAAAACACACTACTTAACCTCGTAAATTTAAAAATTATATATATTTGAACTAACATTGAGGAATTGAAAACGAAAACAAATGCCGGAAAACAGCTCGACGAGTGAGCTCACATTGCAGTTGTAGAGCTTTCAGGTCAGCGCTAGGTCCTCGATTTGAGCGGATCCATCATCGCTTAATAGCCTAGTTATATACAGAGGCGGTGTATGTTACATGTATAGGTTGAGTGTGTGTTTTGAGTGAGAGTGAATTAAACAGTGTAAAAAGGGAGAAAAGGTGTGAGTGATATACGTGTGTGCAGTATATATATACACACAGTGGAGGTGTTGAGAGCGGGCTGAACCACAAGTTCAAACCTTGTAAATTCCAGAAGGAAATAAGAAAAAATGTAGAAAATGATTTCTATTTCTCCTTTATACCTTTTAGTTTTCTACATAAAGTTACTTTATCGGAGCCAACGTGGCCCGAAATTGCTCGGTCAAAATATAGGACCCTTAATTTCCTTAACAATAAAAACAGAAGTAAAAAATCAGAAAAATGGTTAAAATGTTCGAATTTTGAAAGAAAAATACGAAAGAACGGAAACTGAGTAATTGTGGGGGGTTTGACTTTGTTAAAATTCAACTCTTTTAAATTTAGAAAATAAAGTTAGATTAGTTTAATGTTTTTCCATATTAAATGAACTTTTGTTATATTAGCTAAAGTTTATTACTATGTTCTATTATAAACAAATTAGTGGTGTGTAATGAGCTCCTTTTTTAGATTCGTCCTTTTGCGGGAGGTAAATTGACTTGGAAATTGCATAAGATTGTCTTTGATTTTGAATTTAGATAAAATCTAGTATTTTCCTTTTCTCCCCACAAGTTGATCCGAATTTTTTTTTAAGCCAAATAAAAAAATCATCAATTTTTTCTAAAAATACAACCGAATTTTCCTAACATTGCACCTATTTTTGTACCAAATAAATGGAATTGAAAATAATTCAAATAAAAATTTGAAATAAATTGTTAATGTTTATGAAACTATCTCTTTCCTAAAGAAAATGACATGAATTTAACAAAAAAAAAAATGATATGAACTTACCAAAATCTCGGTAAAACATGGTTAAGAAAAAACATAAGAATCCAAAAAAATCGATGCATTTAAATTTTGAAAAGTTGCACACAATTTTTCCTAAATAATTGGATAAGGTGACTTTAAATATCAATGATGAACCACTTTTGTTACCAAAAAATATGGACACAATTTTGAATATACATCCCGTCCAAATATCAGTTTTATTTTAAAATAAAAACTGCATGTGGCTTTATCCAATTTACACAATTTTTTTGAAAGAAAAAATTATTCAATAAGAATGGAAGAATTGGTTGAGAATTATACAACTATTTTCTTACTAAATTTGTATCCACTTTGCACGGTTTTTAAATTAATTTGTATTTAGAATTTTTTTCATAAATAATTGACATATTTTTTGCATAAGAATCTCCAAATTTGTTACCAAAAAAGATATGATTTAAATTTTGGTAAAAAAATAAAATATGATACGAAAAAAAATAGGATTCAAATTTTGCCATAAAAATCTCCAAATTTGTTACCAGAATAATAGAATTTAGATTTTGTTACTAAAGATTCAAATGTGTTTTTTTAACTTTCCATTAATAGTAAGTTAAACATTATATTTATTTGGTCAAACTTTCTATTAATGTATTTTTCCAACAACCTCTTTATATATAGATGTTTCCCTATTCTTTTTGCTTTCTCATGAACCATTCCTCATTCTCCTTTTAATTTTTTTTTTTTTTGTTTATTGTTATTTTTGGCTTGGCTGAAAAAATAAACTATATTGTTAGAAATTGAAATTCATATCTATTACTATATAATACAGTTAAGAAAAAAGTTTTAAAAAAATTCATAAAATTAATTTCATTTTCCCGCTCAAATGTTTATTTTCCCCCTCAAATTTTATTTGAAATATTTGACTAACGTTTTATATGGTAATAGATTTTATCATTCCACTTCCTTTTTTCTAGTCAAATCCGGTTTTATATGGTAATAGATTTTATCATTCCACTTCCTCTTTTTTTGGCCAAATCCGATTTTTATTATAGTAATAGATCTCACTTCCTTGTNGAATACAAACAAATTAGTAGAATCCTATATTGGATATGTTTAAATTATGTTGGATATGTATAAATTATTATGGTATCAATTAGTTTAGATATTTGAATGTTTTAAATGATTTAAATATGTAATAAAAGAAATATTATATATCAAAAGTATCCTATATGATTTTCCTTAAATGAGTAAAATTGACCCATAACGAGAAAGAATATTGAAATTCTTGCTCCCAAAAAAATGGATCAATTATTTTCTTAAATTTTTCAGTCAAACGTGTGCATTAGGTTACACAAATCCAGCCACTTATTTAACGAATAAATGATTTGAAATTTTTTTGAAATCTTTCCGAAAAGTCATGCCAACTTAATAGTTAAATATTTATTTTTACCCATGTTTATCTATCTATAAATCTCATATTTATTTAATAAAGAATGTTATTTTCAGAAATTAATTTTTATTATTTCAGATTGTTCAACCTAATTGATGAATTTTTTGTCCATATTTATTTAACTACGAAATCTTTTAAAGTTAAGAAAGAATCTCATATTATGTGGATTCTTTGTACCTATTTTTTTGCACATATCATTTTTCATCTCATACTCAAATTATATATATATATATATAGAATTTGGTTCAAATGAGAACTAAGTTCTAGCGTAGGAACCGTGAGAACCGCTATTTTTAGTTGTATGTAGTGCTATGATTTATTATATTTTAGTGCTATTTTTAATCAGCATGTATTTTATTAAAAATAACAACACAATTTATGTTAGCATTTGTAAAAATGATAGCACCACGTAAACTTAAAAATAGCATCATACACAATTAAAAATAGCACCAAATATGGTTCTCACGGTTCTCACACCAAAACTAGTTTTTATTTGAACCAACCCCTATATATATATATATATATATATATATATTACGTTGTTCTTTATTAAACAAATATTTGGAGCACTGATTTCGATTCGCCCAGGACCTAATAATGGCTAGGATCGGCTCTGACAACATGATGTGGTATGATGTGGATGGTTGAGATGTGTGTAATTGAGATTAGAGGTAATGATATTTTTAACTAAGTTGTCAACCAATGTTCTAAATTATAATTGTACATGTAGCATTGTCCATATTTTAAAAGGCAAGTGTAAAATGCCACTAAATTAGATAAAAGATTTGCGTGAAAGTTAATGAAAAAATAGATCTCATTTGTAATTATTGTCCCTTTTTTCTGTTCAAACATTCATACAAGAAATTGGTTCAATGTCCAATCTAACTATCAAAATGGCCCAACTATTTAAGTAGCGAAAATGGCACATGTAGCTTTTAAAATTACAAAGATCCCTAGATAAGTGGAGTTGTTTGCTAATATAAATAAGTTAAAAGGGCTGTTAATCTAATGGATGATACTATAGTAACATAATGGTAGATATAAATTATATGTAATAAAATTATATGACAATACACATTACATAAATTTTAAAATATAATAAACTCGTTTACAAAGAGGTGGCCTTTGATCTCGACTTCACGAGGGGTCTGGTCAACAATTCTTACCCTTATAAAAACACAAATTTTGAAATATGAGAAGGGTCCAAAATTGCCAAAAAATAAAATAAAGATATTAAAAACTAAAAAAGCATGGGATTACCCATACTCCCACATTGAATGTTTATCTGGACCTAAGTTTAATTTTCCAGATTGATGGAATGTACCAAAAACTCCGAGAAAAGTCTCAAAAACTGTGGTCCATCTATTTGTGTGCTCACCATCACCATGCATGCCTTGATATGCGTGTTCTTGATTAGACATTGCACCTGATTTTTCAACTAACTTTAAAAATGTAGTAACTTGACTCACTAAAGATGAGGATTGAATTAAATTAATACATTTTTTTTTTTATTTTCAGTTCTAGCTAAATATATATATACATATATATATATATATTTATATATATATATTTTACACATATTTATATATATATATTTTACACAAAGACTTATATAATGATATTTTATAAGTTAAGTATATATTTGTTGCCCATAAAAATGACATTTACCCTAAAACGGCCCAAACCAAGAAGTATAAAAATCAAATCAGGAGGAATTTGCACCCCTTACCATTCAATTTTAATTTTATAATATTTTTACAGCTAATTTAGTTTTATTTATAAAACTACAATTTTAGACCTAAAATATTACATAAATACCACCAGGTTCAGTTACGGAATTATGGGGCAAATTAAATGTAATTATATCGTTAATTATGAATAGCATATATCTTTTCCAAAACGGCACCCCCCACTTTCTCCAAAGAAAAAACGGTACCCCACCTTCTCTCTACTGGAGAAACCGATTGTTTTGCTCGGTCACCGCGAATTCCGCCACCTCCACCACCTTCACATCGTTCTGATTCTAGATCGGTTGCCACCCGCGTTGCCAACACTTTTCTCCTTACCTACAGGAGTCGACAAGGGAGATTTCATCAATTACCGTCGGACCCGACATCATATTTTGAGGAATGGACTTATCATCCTATCACGATGCTCTCCGTTACTCTCTACGAAATTTCTCGATACATTATTATTCGATTCGCACAGCCCAACTTTACCCGGAACAGATCTATTATTATTATTATTATTATTATTATTATTATTATTATTATTATTATTATTATTATTATCTCTCTCGGTTGCAACATACGAGCCGCCATTTGCAGCGTTTGGCCTGGAAATTTGTTCGGATGACATTTTTGTTTCATATAATTTGCTGTCCTTTTTAGCAATTTTCGTATTTACATACCTGACAGTAGAAACGGGCTTCACGCATTCAACAACCGAGTTACCAGATGATGTGATAAATCTTTTTCAAAGTTTATTTGATGTATATTTGTAGTTTATTTGATGTTTATTTACCGTTTCTTTGATATATATTCAGTATAAGTTGTTTTTTCGATATTTATATTAATTTTTTGTTTCAATTTTATTGTGTAGTTCTGTCATGTGTTGTTCAACAGTACAAGTTATGTCAATAAAAACCAACATATACTAAAAATATACTGACTGATTTTGTTGTTCAAGAGCTGCATGCGAAATTGGATATTTGACTCGGTTAAAGTTATGTAAATAAAGACGAAACATATACCGAAACAAAGTTATGTAAAATAAATTATATGTGATGTATATAACCTTAGTATGTCTTTATATTTTTTGATAAATATACTGAAAATATAATGATTATAAACGCAACATACACTGAAAATATACTGAAAATATAAAGATTATAAATATTGTAGCAAATTATTTTTATTTTTTTACCGAGAACCGAATCGAATGATTCGTTCCCCGGGTCGATCTCACGAGGAAGGTGGTTCGGAATTTAGAAGTGGTATTGACAACACAAAAAAGGAAAACAAAATCCTAAACACTCTAATCAAGATTGGGGTAGAATAATTACCAACTAAGAAATAATATGAAAACAATAATCTACCTAAAAATATAAACGAAACAAAGATGGAGAAGCTAGGGAATCGGGGATAATTAATTCAAGTTCTAGCAAAGCCGGGCAGTCAATTGCTCGGTTCGAGATTGACACTCTCGCTTAAACATCTAGCGGTTCGCTCCCAATAACTTTTCGTAACAAGGGATTGAACATAGACGAACAAGCTCGAGCATACAACACAAGCCAACTATCCCAATCCCAATAACTTTTCGTAACAAGGGACGGGTCATCGACAAGCACGTATTTCAATCTCAACCAATAGATTATTCAGTTACGAAATTATCTATCTCATGCAAGCCTAGGTCTACGACTTCTCCCCTTTCGGTTCTGAAAGTCGCTAATTAACTAGAAGGTGATTAATCAACTAATCATGTAGAACTGACAAACCCTAGCTCGACAAATTAACATTCAATTGTTCCCAATCGCAAGATCGAAGTGTCACTCTTCGATTATATCAATCAATCAAGCACAAATTTATCAATTATGAATTAATTCAACTCACATAAGCATGAACAATATTGAGCCCGACAAATGCACGTTAAACAAAAACAATCATCCCCTATCCCTAGCAATAAAAATTAGCTACGTAACATAGATTCAACACAATTAATCAATTCTCCCAAATCAACCATCTTCATGAATTAACAAGAGACAAAACTTACAGATAATCTCAATTCAAACGTTGAATCCCAATTACAAGCGTAATCCCTAAATATTAAGAAGAAGAAGAAAAATGGAGAAGAAAGATCGAGAGAAGAAAAAGAACGATGAAGAAGAAGGGAAGAAAAGAGGAGAAAAGAGTATCATGTTTTTTCGGGACCTAGGGTTTTCACCCTGGTCGAGAGGTGATCAAACCTCGCCCCCAAAACCTCCTTAAAAACGAATCTGAAAACTGATTTTAAAATCCTGTTGTCGCGACCTCCGCGGCCGCGGTGAAGGAAGGTCCGCGGCCGCGACCATATCCGAGGCCGCGAGCTCGACTGGCCAACAATGGGACGTCTTGGGCTGTTTTGGGACCCTCGCGGCCGCGACTTCTCCTTCTCCGCGGCCGCGGCGACTAAAACTGGACAGCTCGCACGACTTTGTCTCTCGGGCCCGTTTGAGTTCGTTTCAACTCGGAATTCGATTCCGCTTTTTCCTGTGTGTTCCCAACGAACTCCTCTATTTGATTAGGCTTGCCCAGCTAGTATTTTTCCGAAATCTTGTTCTCCCGAGACTTCCAACCTACACACCAACGACGACGAAAAAAAACGGAAAACGAACGAAAAACACAAGAAAAACCGAGAAGAGAGCAAACGCTAATTAAACTATTAAATGAACTAAAACTCATCTAAACGACCTAAAATGGGGAAAAAGAAAGACAAAAAGACAACGAGAAACGCAACAAAAATGGGATAAACAA